CCAGTACATCCTTCCTGAGATAACGGGGCCCAAAATTGTTCACAATACTCCAAATGTGGCCTGACCAGAGCCTTATAGGGCCTCAGAAGCACATCCCTGCTTTTATATTCAAGTCCTCTTAAAATAAATGCCAACATTGCATTTGCCTTCCTAACTACTACCTGCAAGTTTACCTTGACAGAATCCTGGACTAGAACTCCCAAGTCTCTTTGTACTTCAGATTTCTGAATTTTTTCCCCACTTAGAAAATACTCCATGCTTCTATTCTTCTTACCAAAGTGCATGATCTCACACTTTCCCACGTTGTACTCTATCTGCCACTTCTTTGCCCACTCTCCTAACCTAACCAAATCCTTCTCCAGCTTCCCCAGATCCTCAATACTACTCGTCCTTCTACCTATCTTTTTATCACCTGCAGACTTAGCCAGAATGCCCTCAGTTCCTTCTCTAGATCATTAGTGTATAAAGTGAAAAGTTGTGGTCCCGACACTGACTCTTGTGGAACACCACTTGTCACTGGCTGCCATCCTGAGAATCTTATAATCGGCCAAATTCTAGAGTTCTGCACTTTTAGTCAGGAGTCACTGAAGAGTGAGCAGGAATCCCAGCTGATATTTAAAACATTATTGTTCCCTTATTGAGGGCACTGAAGTCATCAATAGTAAATTAATTACTGTTTCATCAGTTCATTCAGCAGTGGATCACTTGCTTCAGAAGGTTGTAAGTTCAAAGTGCAACCACTATGAGAATTCAAAGTTAAATTGCTGCTTGTTGCATTATACCAATGATCTTACCACAATTCAAAGCTACCTGGAATTGAACCACTTTCCATCACCTTTCTTCGTAAAAGACTAGAATCTTTAATTGCATTTGACCCATGAGCACACAACCCAGGCAGACACTCCTGGTACAGTACTGAGGGAGTGCTGCAACATTGTCCCCAGTATCCAAGACAATATTTATCACTCAACCATCATCACAGCAAATACACTATTTAGTCATTATCACTTTGCTGTTTGTGGGATCTTGCTGTGTGCAAATTTGTTGCCACATTTTCTGTATTCCAACAGTGACTACAATTCTGAATTATTTTATTGGCTGTAAAATAGCTTGTGGTGATGTCTCAACAACGTGAAAAGTACTACTTAAATACAAAATTTTCATTCTTGGGGTACTCCCAGTGAACAGAGTTAGATCAGATTCAACTGGGAACTTTAAAAGAAGCTGCAGTGATACCAATTGAGAAAGTAGACTGAGGCCCTATGGGGTCAGAGCATTGTACCTAAAATTCACTACCCAGAAATCTCTGACATGATGCCTTTAACCCTGGTGTACCCAACCTAACTCTACCCTTCAAAAAGCTTGTGGGTTAACTGTTTCTGTCACGGAATCAATAAGAACATCCATTCGCTCCATCTCTGTTGAAGTCCAGGCTCCAAACCATCCCACTGGTCTTCTCAAACTCCGAGATACAATTCAAGTCATTCTCTACCACCTCACCGAAATGAGAAGTGAGAGCTCAAACAATAAATGTCAATTGGCAAAGCATTTGATCACAGGCAGCATCGCAGCCAAGATAGGCGAGATGGTGAGACTGGGGGCGTGAAGCCCCGCTCAAAGTAATCACACAGGTACACTGAACAGTAAAAATAAGCTGGGCAGGGAAAAAAACATTTCTTTGCTTCTGTTCCTAACATCGTTTGCTGTTACAGTTTGATTTATTCTTCACTTTATAAAGGATGCCCTTAAAATATAAAGCAATGTGAATGATTGCAAATAGAAGGAGAATGAGCTATGCAGAAAGATTAAGAAAAAGCTCAGTCACCACAGTCAAAAGAGAGGACGGTAAAGGGAAATGTGGTTGAAATATATAAAGCATTAAATGGCTTAGATAACACAAAGCCTAAATACCACTTTATAATACAGCAGGATGATAGAAGCAAAGGTCAAATTTGAAACTGGGGAAAATAAATTTAAATTGAACTGCAGTAGGAACTACATCATACAGGGTCTGATAAATGGCTAGAATAATCAGCTAGGCCATGCAGTAAAGGCAGGGAACAAATTAGAGTTGAATGTTAACGGCAAAAGCAGAAATTGCTGGTAAAACTCAGCAACTCTGACAGCATCTGTGGAGAGAATTAACTTTTGGATTCAGTGACCCTTCCTCAGATGCTGCCAGACCTGCTGAGCTTTTCCAGCAATTTCTGTTTCTGTTTCTGATTTACAGCATCACAGTTCTTTTGGTTTAAATATTAAGGAGGTGAGGTAGAGGGATGAATACTATTTTAGGCTTGAGCTATACTTTATACAATATTTTAGGTTGGAGGACCTAGTCTATTGCATCTGGTGCTCTCGATGTGGTGTTCTCTATGTCGGTGAGACCAAATATAGACTAGGTGACCATTTCACCAAGCATCTTCGCCTGGCCCATAATGGCCAGCCTAACGTCCCGGTCACTGCCCATTTCAATTCACCCCCACCCATCACTCCCCTTGGACGTGTCCGTCCTCAGCCTCAGTGTTCCAGAGACTCAGAATGCAAATTTGAAGAACAACACCTTATCTTCTACTGGGGCACCCTACAGCCCGGAGGACTCAACACTGAGTTCTCCAATTTCAAATAACCTTCCCATCCATCCCCGGCTCCCCTTCCAGTCCCACCTCCTCCCTTCCATTCCACCTTCTGACCCTCCCTTCCAGCCACCAACCGGATTCATCCCTCCCATCGACCAACCAGGTCATACTTAGCACCAATGTCCACCTATCACCACCATTCCACCTCTCGCCCCCACTTTATCTGCAGCTGCCCCTACCCCAAATCCAGTCCTGAAGAAGGGTAATATCCAAAACATTGACTGCTTCTTTCCTCCAGATGCTGTCTGGCTTGCTGTGTTCTTCCAGCCTCCTGTTAGTCTCCCTTGGATTCTAGCATTTTCAGTTTTTTTTGCCTCTAACCAATATATCTGAACAGGTTGATTAGAAAATACCTAGAACACTGTTTTTAAAAGTGGTTCTTCTGATAAAATTTCCCCCTTAGTGTTTTGGACTAGTCACCTGACGTGACTGTTTAGCTGTCATCAATGTCTTTTGTCACTTTCAACTTCCAATGTTTCTTTGGCCAACCTCCCAAGATGCATCCTCTGAGCTTCTGATGTTTCTATTTCTAATTCACACCAACTTATGGTCACTAAACTTCCCCTTCTCACTAATCAACACTGGCGCACAATCTGACAGTCTTGTTTTAAAAATTCCCATCATTATTTTCAAATCCCTCCATGTCCTCACCCCTCATTATCTCAGTAATCTCCTAGCCAAGAACTTTCTGAAATCTTTGAGCTCCTCCTAAGTTGCATTCTTGCAGGTCTTGATTTTCCTTGCTCCACCATAGGCATTATGCCATCACCTGTCCCAGTCCTAACCTCTGGAATTCTCTCCCTAAACCTCGTCATCTATCCATCTACTCCTTTAAAGACACTCCCCAAAATTCACCTCTTTAACCAAGCTTTTGATCGTGTCCAATAGCTCCATGTAGACTCAGTGTCAAATTATGGGCCTTGCATCGTTTTACTACTTTACTGGTGCTACATAAATGCAAGTTGATGTTGTAGTGAGCAAGGCAATTTACAACCAATTTGGAGATTGCCATTTTCTACATGAGTAATTGTTCCACAACACAATTGGCAACATAACAAGTAAACTGCATTTAAAAAATAAACTATCCAGCCTGAAATTAGCCTGCACAAACAGACCAGAGTTTCAACCAGGGCCACTATTGTAAAGCTCAGCAGTATAGTTTTGTGATTTTTGTTAGTTGAACTAAGTGCGGGGGAGGCTAACATATGATATTTTCAATTGCTGAAAATTATACAAGATTATTCCTTGCCCACTTATCTCTCATTAGGTTCTGCTGGTATTCTTTACATGCAAATTTGTAAACTTCCCCACAGTTTAACTGAAAACACACTCATCAGATGGTTCATGCTCCAGCCCCGGTTTCCGTTGAATTAGCTACTCTGCACAGAAAAAATAACTACTGCTCACCTCTGAAGGTGGAGATCAGAAATATCAGCCAGAGTTCCTGACCATTAGCCACTTTCCACTGTTGAACACTTTGTTTGGCATGGGGAGAATCAGATTCAGTTCTGATGGCCTCTGTAGTCAAATATCCAGCAAGGCCACACTCACTTGAAACAGAGGCAGGCCCTTCATGTTTGTGCTGGCTCTTTGTTACAGCAATCCAAAACTAAACCCATTGCCCCACTCTCTTGCCATAACACTGTATCTTCCCTTCTCCAAACATTCATCCAATTTCCCTTACAAGTTCCAGTGACCTCTGCCTCAATACTCCCTACAGGAAAGAATCCTACGTTCCAGCAAACAAATGCAGTTAAAGATTTACAAAAAATATAGAAGATACCAGTTGAGTGAGTTATCAACACACAAGGAGCTGTTATTCAGCAAATGTCACCACCATCAACAGATTGGAACAAGGGCACACACAAACATTAGGGGTTACGATAGTGTAGTGGTAATGTCACTAGGCTAATGTTCTGGGGACCTGGGCTTGAATTCCACCATGGCAGATGGTAAAATTTGAGTTTAATAAAGTCTAGAAATTAAAAAAATGCTAGCCTAATACAAATAAGGAATAAGACTGCCTTACTAAGCCCTTTGAGCCTGCTCCACCATTCAATGAGATCATGGCTGATCTGAATTTTAACCTCAACAGTACATTCCTGCACATCCCCAGTAATCTAATGGCGACCATGTAACCACTGCAGAGCATTTGTAAAAACCCATCTGGTTCACTAATGCCTTTTAGGAAAGGAAATATGGCTGGTGAGGCCTACATATGACTCTGGAACCACAGCAATGTGATTAACTTTTAACAGTCCTCTGGGCAATTAGAGATAGCCAATAAATGATGGCCTAGCTGGCAATGCTCACATCCCATCAACAAATAAAAAAAGTAAGGTTTATATGTATTGGCCATTTCAGGATTCTCTGCCTTTGCACCTCAATCTCTGTATCTGCAAGATGGGCAGCTGGTCCCAGATTACTACAGAGAGGGAACAGCAACACAGCCGCTGGATGATGCAGGGGAAGATTCCCATGACCAGTCTGCAGAGGGGGCTGAACGAGAGGAACAAGATCCACAGTTTTATGCAGGTGAGTCTTATTGTTCCTAAACAAGGGCGGGTGAATTATTTAAATCTGCAACCACTCCAAACCAAAATAACAACTTTTTTTGAAAAGTTGTTTCAATTTAAAATTGTTCATTTAGTGGCTGTCAGAAATGTGATTCTTTTAATAAGTCTGCATTTAATTGCAGTAACAGAGAGTTTGCAAGAAAGGATAATTTTGCTAAATACACAACCATAAATGGGTATGTGGTGAACACTCAACTTGGAACTGGCCTAAACTCAATCTCAATATTGTCTTATGGAGTTTTACAGTTCAAGAAGTTCCAAATGCAATCTTCAGCTACTGCTAGGATATGTGATGTAAGTACTTCAACAACTCTTAATGATCCCTGTTGAATGTGGAAGAAGTTTGACTATGGTGTCCACTGCCACAGTAAGTGCCTCAGCTCACAAAGGGGTGGCTACTTGGTGATGTGCTGCTGCTGTAGCTTGCGGGTGCTGCTGGACATCAAGTTGATCTAGGGCAAACACAGCTGTAGTAAGTGTTTAAGATAACAGTGTGGAGCTGGAGGAACACAGCAGGCCAGGCAGCATCAGGAGGAGCAGGAAAGCTGATGTTTCGGGTCAGGACCCTTCTTCAGAAATTCAGCTTTCTGAAGAAGGGTCCCAACCTGAAACGTCAGCTTTTCCTTCTCCTCTGATGCTGCCTGGCCTGCTGTGTTCCTCCAGCTCCACACTGTGTTATCTCTGACTCCAGCATCAGCAGTTCTTAGTATCTCTGTAGTAAGCGTTTGCTGTTCAAGGGCCCTCAGATCAGATTTAAGAAGCTAGTGTCCGAGCTATAGACATTGCATCGCATCAAGGAGTTACCTAGATACTTTCATCCAGGAAATGGACACACCCCACAAACTAGGTATTTTAGGATTTGAGTTTTGTCTATGATCAGGGACAGGAGGGTGTAACTATAGGTGAGGCAGATATGTGGTAGTTTTTGATGAGCCTCGGTCCCTGCAATTGTCCAATAGTTACAAGATTCTCGCAAGCTGCGTGCACAAAAGTGGGGACTGCAGAGATGTGAGTAGGTTGGGTCTCTACTCATTGGAATTTAGAAGAATGAGAGGAGATTTTATTGAAACATATTAGATTTTTGGGACTTGCACAGGTGTTGTTTCCTCTTGTGAGAGAGTCTAAGATCAGAGGGCATAGTCTCAGAGAAAGGGGTGGCCCATTTAAGACTGAGATGAGGACTTTTTTCTCTCATGCGGTAGTTAACTGTACAATTCTTTACTGCAGAGGGCTGTCAAGGAAGGGTTGTTAAGTACATCGACAGTTTAGATGGACAGATTTTCATCAATAAGAGAATCAATGGGCAATGGCAGGAAAGTGAAGTTGAGGAGTGTCAGATCAGCTCTCAGCTCCTTCAATGGCACAGCAGACTCAATGGGCTGAATGGCCTACTTTTGTTCATAGGTTTTATGGTGGCCAGAGCAAGATCTTTTCAATCCTATACTGCAAATGTCAATCTGCAGATATAATGTTTTGAAACACAGTAGAAACAGAAGACTCTTCAGCTCCTCAAGACTGGTTCCTGAAACTAGGGCAGGGATGTTTGAGGCCAAGCCTGGTTTAGCTAACGCTACCCATATAAAGTGTTGGTTGAATACATACATTAGTCTGTGATAGACACAACTAAAGCAGAAGAAGAAGCTGACTGTTGCAGCCAGCTGTTGCTCTGTTTAAAACTAGGTAAATGGGAATGGCAAGTTATGTAGATAGTTCGATGGAAGCTAGCTTGAGTGCAGCATAAATGCCAGCACAAACCTCTTGGGCCAAATGGCCTATTCAGGTGATGTATATTTTTATGTGCCTCCAAGGAAACAATATCTTTCCTTAAATGAGGTGACCAAAACCGCCCACATCATATGTGATCCTACCAGCACCTTGTATAATTGCAGTAAGACTTCCCTAATCTTACACTCTAGAAACAAGGGCCGGCATTCCATTAGCATTCCTGATTACCTGCTGCACATGTGCTAGCTTTCTGTGTTTCATGCACAATTCCCCCCAAATCCCTCTGTGTTTCAGCTTTTTGCAATTTTCCTCCATTTAAATAATACCATATTCTTTTGTTCTCCATTCCAGAATGGACTACTTCACATTTTCCCACATATAGTCCATAGCTAACCTTTTGCCCACTTACTTAACCTATCAAAATCTCTCTGCAAATTGTTTCCCTCTTACAACTCAGCTTTCCAACTATTCTAGTGTTGTCTGCAAGTATGTCTGCAGTACATTCGCTTCCTTCTTCTAAGTCATTAATATGCTGTAAACAGTTGTTGTCCTGGCACTAATGCCTGTGGAATCCCACTGGTCACATGTCTGCAGTCACCAGACCAGGTAAGGATGAGTAAAAGACATTTACGAACCAGATGGGTTTTTACGACAATTGACAGTGGTCACCATTAGGTTAGCCTTTTTTTTAATTCCAGATTTTTGCTGAATTCAAATTTCACCATCTGTCCTTGGTGGAATTCAACCCATGTCTGGGGTTCTGGATTATTAGTCCAGTGGCATTGTCACTATACCACTACCTCTGTCAAGGGGAAAGAAATTTATATTTTCATGGTCTTTTATGTGAAGCAGTATTTTCTGACATCATTCCTGAAAGGCCATGAAATTTTTTGATGATGCCCTGATCATCTTGGGCTAACAGGAAATAGTTAATCACCATTTACTCCTTGCTATATTTGGCTGTGGTTTGAACAGTGATCTACCCTTGGTAGATTGAATCTTCCTGCTTCTTACGATACAGCCATTGACAGACCCTTCCTTGTTCCAGGAGCAGCTGCTTTTTCACCAGCACCCAGTGGTCAGCATGGACAATGGCATACAATGGGACCTGGATCGACTGACAGCTCTTCTGATGAGATGCCAACAGCACAAGCTCTGATACAGCAGGGTGCAGATACTAAGCATAAACCCAAGAGAATCAAGCAAGAGGAACTGTCCACACAATCAAGCCACAACTGTCAGTTTTACGCAGGTGTGTGCCAAGAAGGAAAGATTACTGAAACTAACCAGAGAAAGGACTGAGTTCTCAATGTTTCCTTTGCTAATAATGAAGAAACTGGATGAAATTTGTGCGACAGAACCAGGTCATTCAGCCCAACAGATCTGAAAGTGTTCACACTCTATGAAAGGCTTCATTAAATCCTACCAGCCCTTCAACTATTGTTTCCTCCCTCATCTTCTTAACTAACTTCCCCTGAAATGCATCTATATTATTCACTGCAACCAGTCCCTCAGGTAGCAAGTTCTACATTCTCATCTCTCTCTGGGAAAAGATTTTCTTTCTAAATGCCCTCTATTTATTTGTGACTTTTTTTCATCTCTATGGCCTCTACTTCTGGTCTACTAATCATGTAGATTATATGTACCCTGTCAAAATCTTACAGATCTTTCTCAGGTTACCCCTCAAAGAGCCCAAGCCTGTTCAATTTTTCCTAATAGTTATAAGCTTTCAGATCTGCTATTATCCTCATAAATCTTTTCTGCACCTTCTCCAATACATCTATATCCTTTATATACCATGAGACCAGATCTGTGCGCAATGCTCCAAAAGTTATCTCATAAACGTGAATCAACTGAATGGCTCATGTACAGAGCTTCTGGCTTGGCTCAACAATGTCATGCAGTGAATGAGTGCATCGTACAGTCCAGCAGTCCTAGATTCAATCCTGGGTTGTGCTGGGTGAGCTGATCTCAGCCAGAGAAATGATGGGTGGGAGTGTTACATTTGAGTTGAAGAGGAGATCAGTATATTTGATACACATCACTGTACAAAAAAACTGTCTGGAATACATTCTAGAATTCATATTTACTATACTTGTCATTCTATTTCTCCCAGTTTATGTGAAAATTGAAATCTCACTATGAAACCACATGGTTTTTGCTATATACTTCCCTAAGCTTCACGACATCAGTAGTGTAAGGAGATCTGTAGACAGTTACTGTAGTATCCATTGTCTGGTCATCTATCCTGAAAACCATTCTTTCCACTGCTCTAAAGGTGTCACTTCTTGACACTGTCGCTCCACATCGTTTTTCAGTTTCCCTGACCCTTCTAAAGATCTTTTGCCTGGAATACTTACCTCACAATCAATCCCAGCATGTAGCCATGTCTCTGTATCAAATCTGATGGTATTCAAAACTAGCTGCAGCTCAATATCAAAAGTCAATGCTCAAGCGTTTTAGAAAGTCTCTATTCACCTACAGCCTCACACCTGACAAAATAATCTCCACAGATTGCGTCTGTAAGATTTTGTGAACAATTTCTTTTTATTATTAATCTTCCCTTCTGGCGACCTGAGGTGGTTCTGGATTCTGGAGCACATCATCCAGGACGTCATTTTATTTTAATGTCCATTGAGACTCATGTAGGAAATGTTGTGTGTGAGCTACCTGTATCCAACAACAGATATCATCTTCAGAAGAGACAGTAAACAGCTGGGGTGGAAAGGGTTTCCATGTCACAGTGAGAGAACGAGTATGCTCTGAGTAAATGAAAATGAGTAAACGAAAATGAGTAAACGTGTATGAAAGCGTGTGTGTAAGAATGAGAATGAGAGAGAAGGTGTGAAAGTGAGGATTTATGTGTGACAGAAGTGGGGAGGGAGTGCACATGCAGCAGTCAACTTAAACCATGATTGAATAGTTAATCTTTAGTTGTGGCTCCACACTGACTCCGAACATAAACCAACAACAAGCAAAATGGCAAAGCACCTACCAACATCCACATTCAGCAACAGTAAATTGAAACTCGCTCCATTGTCTTCACTATTTTGTGATTTACTCGATTTTTGCAGTAAAAGGCAAGGTTGAAGAATACCAACAGACAGTAAACAAGTCTAATTCACTTCTAATTCTAATAATAAACTGCACCTCATTGGCGGCACTCGTTCTATCCCCTGTAAATGCAGTGAACATATTTTACGGAATGTCAATGACACAGTGTCTCTTACTCAGCCACTCTATCACCATACATTGTGCAAGACACAGAGATAAATTTCCCAGCTAGGCTGTATGATCAGTACACAAAATGGAGAAAAATAGGCACCCAGAAGTGTTTACAAGGCATTAATCTAATCGGGGCTGGGGGGTATCGAATGACACCTTGAAACAGCGGAGCAAATCAAGACCAGTTTATAACAGTCATCGAATTCTCGGATTAGATTAGGCAGCTTGTAATCATTTGCTGAAATCGGCAAGTATTTGCGAATGTAGTTTCAACTGTATTGGGTGGGGGGTGGGAAATTGATTCAGTTCTAAGTCCGTTTCTGTGCCAGCAAATACTACCAGTGTCCTTTGTGTTAGTGCAACATAACATCTGCAACAAATGATTAATGATTGTGGTGTTATCACTGCAAATTTAATCAAGAAATAATGCAACAATTTTTCACCCACATCTCCCTCCCCCCCCACCATTTAAATGGGCAGTTAAAGCAGTTAGTGGATGAGCCACACAGAACAGAACAGTTTTGTATTCAAACCCTGGCCTACACAATATTAATCAATCATTAGCTATAGTCCTGCCCCATGGAACTTATTTCCTCCTACCTTGACTCAATTTTTTCTTCCTTTGTCCAGTCCTTTCCCACTTGCATCTGCAATTCTTCTGACACTTACGTCGGTTTCATACTTTCCAGTTGGCTGACACCAGCCGCCTCCTCTTCAACTCAGACGTGCAGTCTATCTACACGTCCATCCTCCATCACTCCCCACCCCGTCTTAGGGGTCTCCACTTTTTCCACAAGAGAATCCCTGAACTGACCCCATCCTCCACCACCACCACCTTCCTCCCCGGCCAAGCTTGCCCTCACTTTGAACAACTTCTCCTGTAACTGCTCTCACTTTCTTCACGTCAAAGGTGTGGCCATGGGTACCCACATAGGCCCTGGTTAGGCCTGTCTCTTGGTGGGATACTTGGAACATTCCTTGTTCCAATCCTGCTCAGATCCCTTCGTATAATTCCTTCTCAAGGATATCGATGACATTGCTGCTGCTTCCCTCTCTCTGGAACTGGAAAACTTTATCGAGTTTGCTTCCAATTTCCATCCTGCTTTTATTTTCTTCTGATTCACCTGTGATTCCTCCCTTCCCTTCCTTGACATCTCTTTCCATTTCTGGGGACAGCCTGGCCACCAATATGCATTACGAACCCACAAACTCTGATTGTCCCCTTGACTATACATCCTTACATCCTTGCATCCTGCATCCTATAAGGTCTCCATTCCAGTCTCCCAGTTTCTCCCTCTCCATTGCATCTGACAATGCCACCTTCTGCAAATGGGCCTCAAAATTGTCTGCCTTTTTCCTCAACTGAGGAACTTTGTGGAATACCTACACTCTGTCTGTAAAAATGACCCTGAGCTTCAAGTTGACTGCCACTTCAACACACTGCTCCCATGCCAACATTTCTGTCCCAGACTTGCTGCAGTGCTCCAGCGAAGCTGAACATAAGCTGGAAGAACATTTTCCGCCAATAACTGATAGCCTTCAGGGATCAACATTGAGTTTAACAATTTCAGAATGTAAACACCTTCCTCCAAGTTTGTTACCCACCGCCACACCTCTAGGTCCTGTTTTGCATGAGTTGTTCCCAGCATAGCCAACCATTTTCAACCATTCACACTTCTTATTAGCACTCTACCCAGCATTTACTCCCTCACAGCATCCCTTTGTTTGCCTCCCCTTTCTATTCTCTCCTTCTTGCCACAGTCTCCATCTATTCTATTCATGCCCACCCCAACCTCAGCCCCTGCCATCAACATAAATACCACACTTTCCCAGCAGCTTTCTTTTTAGTTCTGATGAAGGGGCACTTGACTCAAAACATTAATTTTATTTCTCTGTTTACAGATACTGCCCAAACATGCTGAGTTTCTCCAGTGCTTGCCGTTTTTGTTTCAGATTTCCAGCATCTACAGTTCTTTGTTTTATTATTCTGGCTATAGTAGTGTTGCAACTACCGTCAGGGGTCTGTGTTAAGGAGAAGAAAGTCAACCAGGGTCTTGTTCTTCATTGCCATTTCACAATCACTGTTGAGTGGATGTGTGTGACCATCAGGGACAGATGTGATAAAAACCAAAAGAATCAGGAACAAAAACAAAAGTTGCTGGAACAGCTCAGCAGGTCTGGCAGCATCTGTGAACAGGAAATCAGAATTAACATTTCGGGTCTGGTGACCCTTCCTCAGAACTGGGGTAAATGTGACTCTGCTCACCTATGACCTGTGATGTTCCTGCTGTTGCATAGCCTATCCACTCTCACTCCTAGTTAGCATCTAAAGAATATCCAGTATGAATCAATATCTTCAGCAAGGGCAGGTTGAAAGGCAATTGGAAAGAGTGGGTAAAAGCATTAGTGTACAATTAGCTATATAGATCGGGACAGATCTGTGCTTAATCTCTCCTCTGGTTCAATGAAGAGTGAGTCATTAAACGATATTTGATATAAAACCTTTCAAGTATAAGAGTTTTGTTAAAAAATATTTGCCTGTGGGAGAAAACAAAACGGAAAAGAATGGAAAGAGATGTGCTTGAAAGGGAGGGAAAAGAACAGGAAGGAAGGAATCAAGGGAAAAGAGGAAAGAAGAGAAAAATGGAAAAGGGATAGAAGAAAAGCAAGAGACAGAAAGTGAGATGAAGAGGACAAAAGATGGGAAGGATATAAGTGAAGTAAGAAGGGAAGGGTCTGGAGTGTAGGAAAAGAGGGTAGAATAATGCAACAGAAGAAAGGGGAAAAGAACAGGAAGATAAGGAAGCAAGAAAGTAGAAGATAAGGAGGGATCTAATAAACAAAGATCTCTGATCCTGAGCACTCTGCCATACCTTCAGCTGCCCAGGCTCTAAACTCTGGAATTCCCTTTTTAAATCTCTAACTGTCTCTCCCTTCAACAAAACTCAAATGTGCCTCTTCTAGTAGTCACCTAACCTGTCCTTACATAGCTCAGTGTCAAAACACATTTGATAATGCTTCTGTTAAGAACTTTGGGGCATTTAACAACGTTAACAGTGCCATATAAATGCAAGTTTTTGTTGCAACATTACTACATGCAATTGATCTTATCTATTCATTTTACTGGATCTTCCTAGCTCCGTTAGATCTGAGAAGTCAAAGAGAGATGCCTGGAACATCAAACAAAATTCCAGCAACACGCAACCACAACAAGGGAGACAATATTAAACAAGAGGAAGATTCCCTCAGCCACAGCTAT